CCTCAAACGGCTGAAAGTGGAGCTGTGGCTCAAGTGGTAGGGCGCTAGCAATCAAGAAGCTCAGGGACAGAGCCCAGACCCTGAGCTCACAGCTCAAGAATAGCATCCCATCCCACCCCCACCAAAAACAAACAAACAAGACTGCCTGCTTCCAACTTTCAGATGACTGAAACTTGAAGACTGGCCCTTCCAACCCTGCCCTAAGAGGAAGCCTGGTCCCCAGACACTTATTTTTTAAGTGACAAAAGATGGGTTTGAACTGTCACTAGTGGAAATGACTTTGGGCAAGTACAGCACGTGACAAAGAACAATGTGACCCATGGGTAGTGAGTGACTATATGTCCCAATGGGTTAAAATATGAACTCCCTGGAGACAGGGAGACATCCCCAGAGACCATCAGGTACTCAACTTGAGATGATTACTTGCCCAAACCTTGAATAATAGAATCACCTACACAAGACAGGTTTTACAAACAGTCCAAGCCTCCAAAGATAAGCTATCTATTCTGTGGTCTTCCTCTCTATGGAGGCTCTGGGAGATCCCAGGACTCGGGGCTACTGGAAACCTCTCTGCAGGGAGTGTCTGGGTATCCTCCACTGATCCTTGCCTGACCTCTAGGCTTGTCAGACATCTGACTGGGACAGGATGGGCCTTCCTGCAGTGGGAGGAATGGACAAGGGTCCTACTATCAGGGGAGTGTTTTCCAGGGCTCTTTTCTGGCTTCTTGTCCATGCAGAGCTCTGCAGCATCTCCTCATCCTGGCTGGTCTTTGGGAACATCTGGGCATCTGAAAGAGTTGTGCCCTTCTCAAGGGACTCTGGTTTGGAGACGTCTTTACTGAGCCCCTTCTCCCCTTGCTCTCCGTGGCAGGACTGCACAGATGGAAGCCGGTAACCTTGTCCTGAGATGCCTGTGCTCACCCACCGAGCAAGAGCTGGGCTCTGTCCTGCTTCACCTCAAGGCCATCCTCGGCCATCTGGAGCACTGTTTATTCCAGTATTAGCCGAGGCTTAGCAGGAGTTGGCTTATAATCTCCGTTGCTGTGTCAACAGCACTGAGGGTGGTTGTGAACAGAGCTCTGGACCAGATGCATGGGTTCAAGTCCTAAAATCAGTGCTGCTCTGTGACTGTCTCCTATCTGTTACCCGGGAAAGACGAGAGCACAAGCACTGGCGGGAGGATCAAAGGAACTGGGAACTACATGCTTGGCATTTAATAAGCATGAACTAGTACATTTAGACATTACTATTACTATTACCCTATTACTCATCACAATTCCTTTCTTCCTTTTTCATTCTTCTCTCCATTTTTTAATTTATTTAATTTTTTTTTTTTTGTCAGTCACAGGGGTTTGAATTCTGGGCCTGGGCGCTATCCCTGAACTTTTCAGTTCAAGGCAAGCGCTTGAGCCAGAGAGCCACTGCTGGTTTTCTGGTAGTTAACTGGAGATAAAAGTCTCATGAACTTTCCTGCATGGGCTGGCTTTGAACTGTGATCCTCAGATCTCAGCATCCTGAGTAGTTAAGATTACAGGTGCAAGCCACTGATGCCTGGCTATTTTTTTTTTAATGCTTTAAGTCAGGGTTTGCCATGTGCTATGTGGCACAGTCTGGCCTCAAACCTGCAATCCTCCTGCCTCAGTGCTAGTTGGGATTACAGATGTGCTCCACCATGCCCAGCTTCTGTTTTTTTAAACTGTCCTGCTCAGGAGAGTGGATGCTGATAGGTTTATGCTCTCTGGGATACAGTATAGTTTCCCACGCCCCATGAGCAGCACTGATTCCTGACATCAAAAAGGTGCCTTCATTCCCAAAACATGTTTGGAGACCTTCACCAACAACCTCGTGACACAGACAAAAGTGTTATATTATGAATGGTCATGCTTCCTCCACCCCAACTTCCTAGTGTGGCTCCCTACCTCCTGTAGTAGTCCTACACACACACACATACACATACACACACACAACACACACACACACACACACACACACACAGAACCTCCTCACCCTCTGCCCAGATTCTGCCCAGAAACTTTCAGTTCTCAGTCTGCGTCTCCTCCTCTTCTCCTCAAAGGACATCTCGTGAAAGGTCTCAGGATCCACCCAGCCAAAATCTTCACCCTAGCGTCCTCAGCTAGCTGCGATGTCAAGTTACCTGCCCAGTGCACAAGCTGCTGAGAGCTGGAACAGAACTGAGGTTGGAAGGAAAGCTGCTGGTTCCCAGCCTCGGGTCCTGGCAACACCTCCTCCAAGTCAGAGACCAGCACCAGACGGGGAGTGAGGGGCGCCGCCGCAATGCCTTCTGCTACACAAGGATGAGGCAGCTTCTCATCTGTTTTCTTTTTGGTCCTGGTACCAGGGCTTGAAATCAGGGGTTTCATACTTGCACTCAATTTTCTTGCTCATAACTTAGCACTCTAACTGCTAGAACCACATCTCTAGCATTTTGCTGGTTGGTTAGAGATGGAGGCTCGCAGACTTTTCTGCCCAGGCTTCAAATCAACAACTTCTTGGACTTAGTCTCCTACTTAGCTAGGATTACAGAGATGAACCATGGCACCCTGTTTTCCTGTTTCTTCTTTCATCCATCCATCCATCCATCCATCCATTCACTCATCTACCCACATACTTATTGAGTAACTTCTAAGTGCCAAGTAGACAGATTCACCAACAATGTGGGATATGCTAGAAGGCTCAATAACTATTTGTAAAGCAGGAGAGACAGGTGGACTGGCTCTGTACCCCACAGCACCCTCGTTCTTCTGTGCCCTCCTCACACTAGCACACTCGGGGGGCTCTGGGAGCCTGCTAGCCAATGAGGGACCTGTTTCTCTTCACAGGCCAGCTCAACCAGCCAAGTATTTGGACTCTGCCAACTCAGACCTCATTAAGTGACTTTACTTCCTTCACTGGCAATAAATGAGACAGTTTACATGGTTCCAGCAACTTAGGACCTCGTGCAGCGAGACTACAGACAGTAACAGATGTCTTGTTTTTGACCAAAATATGCTTTTCTAATGTCATCATCGCCCACAGAAACACAGTCGCCTGAACACCATCCTGAAGCACTGTGCACCCCTGCTAGGGTTAGTCCTGCACCAGGCTTCCTTTAAGCTTTCTTCACTAAAGAACACCTGCACACACAATGCAGCCCTTGCCCTCAGCCTTGAGACTCTGAGCCACCAGCTTGGCTAACTCCTGGTTTTACTCCAAATGTCTCCTGCAGCACCTACCACCAACACAAGCCTTGGACTCTGCTGTGCTGTCCTTCACTCTCCACCATCCCTAACAGGAGGCCCATACTGGCCCCTTGGGAAGCTCTTTGCTCAACAGCCTTGAGATTAAGCCCTGGGCTGGTACTGAACCCTGGTTCAGTTCTAGTGCTGGTGGTTCATGCCTATAATCTTAGCTACTCAGGAGGCTGAGATCCAAGAATCATGGTAAGAAGAGCCATGAGACTCATATCTCCAATTAAACACCAGAAAGCTGGAAGTGGAGATGTGGCTAAAGCGGTAGAGTGCCAGTCTTGAGTGAAAAAGCCCAGCAACAGCGTGGTCACAAAAAATATAAGTGACTCAATCTTAGTTCCACTTCACGTGAAACAGGAAGGAGGGCAGAATCTTCCTATCCATGAGTCTATACAGACCCACTGAGGTAAACAGGGGAACTCACCGGGCACACTGTGCCAATAGCACCATCTGGTTAGTACTGGTAGGTGTGCATCTGGATTGCTAGGCTGAGCCTGGGCTATGCTCCCCTGTTAGTATCCCACAACGTCCCATCTCTCCATCACTCTGCCACTTTCCTGTTCATGGGAGCCAAACTGTCCCAGGTCCTAGGTGGTCTGCTGGACCATATTTGGATTGAAGAAAGCCTTGGCAGTCCTGCAGGACTGGGCTCTTGTGTCCCTGTCTCCACTGAGGAAGCAGTTCTGGGTCTGGGCAGCAGCTTTGTGGCTGAGGCCAAGCCCTGGCTGGCCGCTCCCCATGATGCCAGGCTGGCCGGGGCTGAACTCCTTATTGTTTTTCCACAGGGCACCTCTGCAGAGCCAGATGCAGGGCTCCTGAAGGTCCCTGATGGGCTGGGCATTTCTCCACAGTCCTCCACCCATCCCCACCACTTCCCCACCAGAAAGGATCACAGGTTGTGACAGAGATGCCATACAGAAGAGGGAAAAGTGGCGCATTTCTTCCAAGTCCCTAACCTGCCCCTCCTCTGCCTCTTCAAATTTCAAGGTCCAGAGGCCCAGGATGAGCTTATTCAAAAAGAGCTACTTGAGAGAGAGACAGAGAGACAGAGAGAGACAGAGACAGAGGGCACCACTTTGTTTTGTAGGGCTGGCTCTAGAAACAAAGACAGGCTGCAAAGCCTCCCTAAACCGGTCCCCACCTGGGGCCACCATCTGAAGAGAGTACAACTGGCCAGACTATTCCTTTCTCCAAAATGTTATTTTTCACAGAGGAGAAACTACATTTGAATACAGTAAAGAAGTAGAAGGGAAAGCACAACAGAAGTTCCTATGGTCCCCAAACCAGACTTTCTCTCCTTCCTAGGTTTGTTTACACTGCTGTCCAGATCTGTGATCCCAGGCCGGTCACCAGCTGGGAGGTCCCGGCACTGCCTCCCGGGGCTGCTGTGCAGAACGCGCATTGGGCGCCCACAGGCACGCGGAACCCACTTGCGGCTGGACACAACCGAGCTCCGCTCCAAGAGATCCCCCGGGATGCTCCCTCCCCGGGACCTGGCCTCCTCTCCCAGCAAGCGGGTGCTCGCGGCTCCCCACAACCCGTCGCTGTCCCTTGGCTCCTGCCCTGCGCAGGGCACAGGCCCGGGCAGGGATGGGGAGATGGGGGGCCGGCCTGGGGCGCAGTCAGGATGGGGATGGGGAGATGGGGCAGGCCTGGGGCGCAGTCAGCGTGGGGATGGGGAGACGGAGCCAGCCTGGGGCGCGGGTCAGGGCCGGGATAGAGAGCCGGCCGGGCCGGCCCGGGGCGCAGTACCTTGGCCGCAGGCGCCCCGCTGCAGGACGATGATGGGCGGCTGTCGCAGCGCCTCGGAGCGGCGGC